CTGTCTGCACTTTAGAGCTTTTCTGTTGTGATTTTTTTGTGTGTGTGTAAATTCCATCATATCTTTTAGGCCCACATATGGTCTTTCCTACTTAACGCCACAGTGACAGTAGCACCAGTGTTACACCGTGGTTATTCTCATCTATTGACTCAAAATAGAGGAAAAAAATTGCCTTGCGATCACAGTACACCTGTGAATCAGCAGTTAGGAGGCTGCTGTTACCGTGTGCAGGGTGCTCGTGAGGATGTGCAGGTACACAGGACTGCGTGTCGAGACAGGCGCTGGAACAAGGAGTGAGTATAGGAAGTGGTTGAGGTGCTGCACTGGGCCACTTCTAAAAAATTATATTCTCATTTGTTTGCTTTTCCCATTTTAACCATTATTTGAGCGACAGAGTGAAAAATTAAACTATAAACTGGTGTTTATCCCGAGAGCTTGGCTACCCACCCCACAGCCTTGCTCCTCCCAGCAGAGGCGGTGTGGGCTGGCCGGGTCCTGCCTTCCTCCAGAGCCCAGCATGGAGCTGTGAGATGCCTGGCTGTGGGTTTGAACATGTAACCTGCCACTAATGTAATTTCCAAGTATCCCATTTTTAATAAACCACTCCCACTTCTGCTCTGAATGTCCTCAGCATGCATTTTAGGCATCGTGCATTTTTCCTATGGACTAATACGCAGAGACATGCATGGTGAGACAGAACAGGGAAATCTGATTAATAGCTTCCTAGCTGAGGTTCAAAATAAATCTTTTCGGGTGACAACATATTTTTTTTTTAAAAACTGCATATCTTTTAGGAGGATCAGACTGAAAAGAACTACTTCATTTTCCCATGTTCCCCAGACGTGGAACAATTTTACACCTTCTGAGTTACATCCAGCTGTTTGTCATGACTCTAAGAGCTTGCAGAAGTGCCAGTTAAAGTCAGTTTATCCTGGGAGGTGTTTCCTGCAGTCATGGGAGGATTCCATAATGCCTGCATAGTAGTGTATAGAAAATATAAACAGACAGTATGGATGGTAAAAGGGAACATACAAAGTTAGAGAAAATCCTGGAATCTAATGATAGTCCTTCAGGTGAGCAATGTTCATTTTTATTGCATGCATTATGGAAATAATCTGTTTCAACACATAACCAGTTTTCCCCAAGGTCTCAGTTTTGTTCAGGTACAGCATCAACGAAGCTCATTTCCTGACAGTTATGCAATATTTTGTTTTATCCTTTTCACTCATTGCTTGGCCCTGTAAATATACTGCATATCACACTGACCTTGATCATCACAGAAAATGGCTCAGCCTTCCAAAGTGACTTATTTCTGCACTGTCCACGTGCTTCATAAACCTCTGTTAATTTGTTCTCAGTGTATGGCGTGACCCCATCTTACTGAGGTAAAGAGATACATACTGAGGCTACAATGAGAGGCCATCGGTCCGTTTGAGATTTTCAATTTGAAGTTGGTCAGTCTGGCTTTTTGGACTGTGGGTTTGTTCACTTGTTCTAGACATTGTTTTCATTCACCTTGGTTGCAACAGTGAATGCTCAGTAATTTTGTACTTCACTTTGGACACCAAATAAAGGAGGACTACTCAGTTAATGAATGTTTGAGAAAGGGCTGGTTTAAGTGATTTATGGACATAACATCACAGGGAAACTTTATAGTAGAGACATGGAAAGAATCTAATTCTCCAGAGCAGTATTCTGTTCTCTTCACTACAGCACGTCCTCCTTCTTCCTTCTTTATCCCCCTTCATTCATTCCATGTGCTACAATCATGGCAACAAAAGAGGGAAGGGATCCTCCAGACAACAAGATCCTCTGACTAGCTCGATCCATCTCCCTGGGCAGAGAGATGAATAGTCATGTGAATGGAGATTTTGTCCTGGACCTGCACACAAAAAGGCCAAATTCAGGTTACCCAGGCAGACTTAGTGTCTGGGTATTGATAGTTTTGAGAGCTGGACTTTGCAAAGTGGTGCTTTCCATTTTTAGTAAAAAAATGTTCTTGTTTATTCTGTTTTGTGGAATTGCGTTTGTACCAACACACTCAGAAAATGGGAAGTGGAGAGACTCAATCTCTCACTGTCACACGTCATTTCTACTTGGAGAAAGCAGGTGGTGCCATAAAGTTTATTTTGCCTTCTGCCTTTGGGAACAGAGCTTCATCGCACGGGCTCATTGAATAGCCCCTTCTTCCTAGACAGCAAGAATTATTTCTGTACAGGAGTAGAGCAATAGCTGTGCTGCTTTATTCTGAGCGGGCGTTTGCATTCTTCTGGTTTGCCTATACTGTTGCTAATGTAGCGCTGCCCCTTGCGTGTCTGGAAAATGGCTTTAACCTGGGTGCAGAAATGTAAGCACAGGAGATATAAAGGTTCTATCCTTTGGCATTTGGATTTTTTAAAATATTAATGTATAACAAAGGTTTTGTGCTTTAATTTGAATCTTGTTTTGGCACGGAAACATTTTAAATATGAAATGAAAAAAGTAAGAAGAAACAGTTCCATCTTTTAAAGTAGGAGCTAATAGAAGACTATAAGCCATTTTCCATCCCCAAAGTTATGAGTGTATGCTACTGAACTAACTCGGAACCAAAGGATTTTGAAGGTACAAAGTTTATAAAGCATGAACAGGATGTTCTGTGGTACTCTCCTCTGGCATTTACTCATGCCGGAAATTTATCAAGCCCTCAGTGCTGGCTCCAGACCCCTCAGTTTGCAGCTTACTGGCAGTGTTGTCTCTGTCCTTCAGAATTTCATTGTTCTGCAGAATCGTGCTACATGCATTCCGTGTACTTGAAAACTTCTAGTCTAAGCCAGATATTGCGAATTCAGCACTCTCGGAAATAACCGATAATGCTTTTGTTGCCGTGAGCCAGATGGCTGCCACCTGGCTTTGTGAGTGGCACCTACAGGAGCCCATCTGCACTCGGTAGAGGTTCTACTGAGAGCAGCTTCCCCTGAGGGACGGTTTGTGAATGACTAAGACTGGGTGTGACTTAGACTAATAAACAATTTGTGTAGCTCAACAAATTCTCTAACCACCAGTGAGTACTGCAGTCTGATGCTAAATGTGAAATGGTCCCTAGCTCTTGGGGACAGAACATGAAGAACTGATCTGTAATATCAGCTGCATGGCTTTACAATTTTGACATGTCTGGGCTTGTGACAAAAATACAACAGGGTTAGTCCATCTCTCATGTTTTTCTAGCTACCAAAATGTTTTTCCAGCCACTTCCTTGATCAGTTGCAGATGTTTCTACCATTTCACAAACCTGAAATTGAAATATTAATGGTCATCACAAAATAAATGTCACTGGTTCTCCGAGTACCCAACCCAAAAGAAGCTACACCAATTCTGTTATTCTATTGAGTAAATCAAATTCCTTCCTTCTTCCTGTTTAAACATCAGCCGCAAGTTCTGATGGAATTTCTAGATTGATTTCAATTTAGGACTGCAACAATGCATTGTGTAAAACCTGAAATGGAAGGACACAGCAGATTCTCCATGTGCTGATCCAGTTTCCTAGGTTTTATGCTTAAGACGACCATGCCTTTTCAGTTGACCTATGCTCCTTACAGCTTTCTGGGAGCTTCTGATCTTGTTAAAGAGCCTGTCTGTCAAAAGGCTTTCTCCGTGCCACTTTCCTTACCGAGTGGTGAAACTTTGAGATGTAACCAGCTGTATCTTATTCAGTGTGACAGCAATGAAACCATTTAAGCCACTGATGCAAATCACATGTGATCTTAATGTTATTCCTAAACAGAAACACTCACCAGTCCCGGAGACCAAGGTCTCCCTTGATCACATGTAAAACAAATACATCCCCTTCATATATTTGTAGTTGATTAGTATTATTAGTATCACTATTATTAGTCCTGAAATCATTATCTGCATTACCTCTTTCCTGTCTTAGAGCAGCTCGTGGCTACACAGCTATTGCCTCTGGTTATCACTGTTTTGCTGCTTCTCTGAAAAGCACTTTGGTTTCTCTGCTTTAAAAAAAACGTACAGATCTCGTTTATCCCAGGAAACCAGGAGTCAGAATTCACTGGATCGGAAGTAACAGTGCAGCTGTGTGGATGTGGGTTCTTCACATCGCTCTCATGGCAAAATCAGGAGTTAAAAGGGTATATTCACCTCCAGGAATAACACACCCAGACTCTAGTCGAATGAAATGAACTGGTTTTTTTGAGTATTTTTAAAGTAAAAAAACCTGCATGTTATATTAATGTTCTGAGATTGCTGTGAGAACAATCTCCCTGTGTCAGCTCAGGCTTGGTTGGTTTAGGGTTTTTTGTTTTTTTGTTTGTTTGTTTTTTTGTTGTTGTTGTTTGGTTTGTTTTGGGGTTTTTTTGCCTTTTCTCTGATTTAGAGTTTAATATCTGCATCACTTTAGGATATAACATTACCATAATGATATTACAAAGCTACTTACTTGCTAAGCTCTACAGAACTTTTATTTGTTAATTGTACAGTGACCAGAACAACCATCTCCTGGTGCCCAATAGGCGCCATTGAGTGTTCATAAAAAACCCTTTCCCTCGATAAGTTGTCTCTTCTCTTTCCCCAGCTTAACTTATGTATTATCTATTATGATATATTTTGTCTTTAGAATATTTTTTCACACTGAATTTTTAAATTTGAATAAATAATTAACAAGTGAGAATGAGATAAAGGCAGATGACTCTTTTTAGGTTGCAATTGCTAACACCTTATAGTGTTAATAAAATAATTAATTAATACTGGGTGAGGGTCTCCAAAAATTCTGTCTCTCTTTCTGTTTAGGTAGGTTGAATCTGTGAAGACCAGCTGAGTTACTCCTTGTTTATACCACTGGGAAGTAGCGGAGAGTTTAACTCAATTTTTTTTAAGGTTGTGACTCATAAAAAGTTTGCCAGGCACTGTTACCCTGTACAGCTGCCTCTGCAGATTTGCAGTCAGTATATGCATAAAGGTGAGTCCTTTTTGACATTTTTTAACCACTCCATTTTTTTTGTCTCCAGGTGTGGGTGGATGCCGGCACACAGATCTTTTTCTCGTATGCGATCTGCTTGGGGTGCTTGACAGCCCTGGGAAGTTACAACAACTATAACAATAACTGCTACAGGTAATACCTTCCACACTTTATTTTTACACTTATTTTCAGATCTGTAATGTTTTTTATAATTCTTTCAGAGGAACTATTTTCAAAATTTTGTGTTTCCATCCCTTTTGATCATATTTGACGCTTGCACAGCCACAAGCCACAGTATGCACATATATACACAACTGCATGTATAATACACTGAATTTCTTACATGTCTGTAAAATTTAATTGCATAACCTATATGTGCTTTAAAAAAAAAAAAAGTCCTACAAAAAACTGTTATTAAAACTCACCTGAGCATGCTCTGAATGGTACTCTTTCAAAAAAAAAGTTTACTGGCTCCTAGCTAGAGCACAGTGGAAATGGACGGCATTTCACTGCTTATCTTCATAGAAATCAGTAAGGAAACTGCAAATGACTTCAGGAGGTTTTAGTCTTTCCTGAATCAATGTCAAAAGGACATGACTCACATAAAATCCTCATTCCATTTTAATGGCCTTGGGAGGAACACGAGCACTACTTTTTGCTGCTGGCTCCAGTAGTTATTGAATTAGACTTCCTACTGTTCAACAGCCTTTAATACAAGACAGTAAATGACAGTTTGATTGTACTGATTCCATTATGATCTCCAGACAGAGAACTAAAATATTAAAGGAAATAATACAGTGCAAAAGCAAAAGAACCCCAAATGCACCACCCCAAGCCCTCAAAAGTGTAAGTATTTCAATTCTAAATTACAGTGTTACTTGGAGAGTTCAGGAGACAGTTTTAGAAAGTGCCACCTTCTTTCAGTGTCTTAGCAACAATTTGTTCTTCTGTCAGTGAAACAACAAACAGTAGGACCCTCCAGAGAGGGAACTGGGATACTGGGAACCCCAGAGGCACGACTGTATCCACCAGATGAATGTCTACAATATCCAGCAGCAGTTAAGGGTACTTTGCCATCTAAGCAGGCAAAGTAACTTAGCAGCAACGTAAGTTCCTCTTTGCTTGGCTGTGACAGCCAAAATTGCAAATGTTTTGTTGCATAAAGTAGTGTCAGTCCCCTACAATCTTCCCCAGGTGGATTGTATTTTCAGAATACTGGTGGACAGTATTTTCAGAATAACAATACAGGTGCCCCAGCAGAGGGTAATGAACGCCCCTGCAGAGCAGTGGGTCATGAAAGTTTTCCCGAGTGAGCATAAGTAATGCTTTAACAAAGGCACTACTCCTTTTCTCACTTATTTAATTTTATTTTTATTTCTTTCCAGTTGCATCCCATCTAGAAATGATTCTGTCACTGCCTCAAGGACTGCAGTAATCTTTTTGCTATGGTTTTGTAACTTACTACAAAAAGCAGGAGCCTTGATGTGTAATCAGAGCGCTTATGTAATTTTCCTTCTTTTCCTCTGACACTAGCAGCGTAGCTTGTAAAAACCTTCAGCAGCTCTTTTAAAGCACCTGAGCAAGATGCTCCAACAGAATACTTTTTATTGAATCCAAGCTTCGCAATTCCTCTAAGAAAATGTTTTCAAACATTTCCTGAATGTGACAGGTTTTATTGTGTCCCAATGTATGATTCTTAACAAATCCAAGGAAATGAGTAGGACAGAAGTTAACTGCAGAAAGCAGCTGAGTTAAACAGGGTTGTTTACAGAGTGAGACATACAAAGCAGCTGTGCAGTGGAAAGCAGAATTATATTTGTATTCTAACTAGCACTTAACAAAATTAAAATCAAGCCATGAATTTGCCTTTTGCAATACCTGCAGTGTATTGTCTGATAGTAACATTTACTTCCACTCCTTTTGCACACTGTTTTACTAAAATCTTTTTTTCTAAGAGAAAGTCCCATTGGAAAATAATGACATCAGGTATTTTAGTGGGAAATGGGAAAATCTAAACTGCACATTGGTTTTTCATATCAGCAACCTCATCCAATTCATTAACGTTGTAAATGAGTTGCAAACAAGTCACTTCACATCTCTGAATAGGAAATGAAATTTTTATTGTCCTTAGTTATCTTTCATTGTAATACATTAATACGGATCCTCCCTGGATTTACAACAGTTGATATCAAAGCGACTGTTATGAAAAGATGAAAGTAATGGCAGTACCATCAGCGGGCAATGTTTCCCCCATATAAGTAAAAGAAAGGTGTATTGATGTTTCATCTAATTTTTTGCAAGCTAAGAAATCCTAATCCATTCAGACCTTCTTAAGGGACGGATTAACTTCAGACAACCTCAGCAGACAGAAGAGGAAAATGTTCTTGTTGCTGCTTCAAGTGCTCTGTGTTTGCAAAACTGTTCCAGCTCCCTGCTGGACACAGTGCAGCTCCCCACCAGAGGAAACACGGTGTGGTTTCCCAGCACCGCGCCTTCGTACGGGGGCTGCACCTCAGCAGGACAGTTTTAATGTTTGAGGCCCATGTACGCATCAGGGGTTCGCTGCTGTGGTGGTGTGGAGGAAAAATGAGGGGTTTCACTCACTGTCAACAAATGGACAAAGCTTTTAACAAATGAAGATGTGGCCTTTATCAAGCTGCTATTCTAAGAGGAAAAGAGGAATGGAAATTGGTCTTGAGGGGGACCCGTGAAGGCAAGGAAGCAACTGGAGAGATGCAAAAGGCTCTGTGGGCTCTTCTCTCTGATCAGAGAAGCTCCTTAAGGAAGGCAGGATCCATTTCCAGCAGTGTCCTGGCCGTCAGGCAGGGAGAGGATAAGGGATGTGTGTCTTGAATTATTCAGGTGATTGGCAAGATGTTAATTTGGAAGAATGTGAAGTTTTCATTAAAATGTGAAGTTTTCCTTTCATTTGAAACCAGTTTGGGCTTCAGTCAGGCTCTGATACCTTCCTTCCAAGGATGCTTATAGAAACTTGATGGAGAATTAGATAAACTTGATGTTCTCCTTCCGATGGTTCTTGGGCATTTGTTTTTTAAAATCCATTGGTTTCACAATCAGTGGATCCAGATCCCCCTCTCAGTTTTCCTTCATGTAGCAGAAAAAAAGGACTGAACTACAACTTACACACTTCTGTGTAAGGGAAGAAAAACAGAAGTTGAGGACTTAGTGGAATTCCTGCAAAGATAAAGGAAGAATGGAAATTAAAATCAGAGGTTATGTTTTTATTAGGACAGGAAATACTGCTAGGTCCCTAGAGAACTGAGTGTTCAGTCTGTGAGTGTCTAACTGGGGAAGAAAAATGGCAGATCTTGTCTGTGTTATGTCAAAAGAATTGGTACCTCGCTAACTGGAGATGGTGAAAACCCCCTTTTGCCCATTTCCTTGGAGAAATGCGTACCTGCCCTGTAACTGTCGTGTACTACGGCACTGTGGTTCACGGGTCCTCCCTGTGCGTGGAGAAATGTCTGTGTTCCTCTTGTTCTCTCACATGATCCAGTTATATAGGGTTGTCCAGTTTAAACACCCTGGGCCTTGCCCTGGGACCTTCCTTCAGGAGGAAGCAGCAGAAAGTGCCAGGAGCTCTGAGGGTGCACAGGGAGCAAGGTGTCTCCAGCTCAACCGTTTTTCACATGGTTAGGAACCAGCAGCTCTCAAATGTCCTGTGCCACACCACTCACCAGAAAAAAATAGCTTGTTGTTTGGACTGCATTTGAAGCCTCGGAATTATCTGAAATAAATCTTATCTGCAGAAAACAGGCTGCTCCAAATGGAGGCACCGTGTGACTGGTGAGCAGCCAGATCCATCCCACTGAAGCAGTATCTTTTTTTTTCCCCCAAAGGATTAAAAAAACGCATCTTTCTGACATCTCTTATCGACAGGATTTCGTCACACTTAGTTTTAATTTCTCAGCATTGAACTCACTGGTTTCTTAGGTGAGAAGAGCTGGGGTGAGAATCTCTCCAGAGCTACTTCAGTGCTGAAATACATTGAGAAGAATGGTTAGGAACATGATATTTTGATATTTTTCTTTGCTTTATATCTCTGTAAAGCACAAAAAACTCGGTGCTTCTGGTTGTTTTCTTTTAGATTGCTATTTTGCTTTAAAACTCCAAAGAGTGTAACTAGCCTGGTTGTGCATAACTACAGGAAGCAATTTCATATGAAAAGCAAATAAATAACAGGTTAGAATTCTGACCATTTTCAGAAGGTAATTTAAAGGACTCATTTACCCCTGCTAATAAGCAGTGTTAGAGAGAGTCCATGCATGAACACTGGACTTCTCCATGTCTAAATTTTGATCTACAAATTGAATTGTTCATTCTTTTTAATTTCTGGACAAATTTTGGCAATTTATTGATGATATGCTATATAGGAATTTTTTAGTATGAAATGATGATGAAAACATAAATCCATTCTCAATGTCTAAAATTAACTGTAGATACGGGGATGAGAGAGAGCCAAAGCCTCCCTTGGCCCAGTGGCCGTTGTTCAGCTGGTCACTGACTTTGCTGGAAGCGGTCACCTCACTTCAACTTAGTAAACTGATGAGACAAATTTACAAGATAAAAATACCAAATGAAGCAAGCAACAGGAGAGAGAGATTACCAAAGGAGTTTTGCTGGAATATACACCAGGACTTCAAACATAGTCTCTGATTCTCAAAAAGTTGCTACAAATCTGCAACAAATATGCGAATCATTACTGAAGATGCGGATTCAGCACCTGTTAGGTTTCACAGGGTCATTTCTTCTCAGAGATAGCTTGCACAAAAATTTGCTTCAGAGCTGTAGCAGGATGGGAATAAACCAGACTAAGGTATGACAGAGCTACAGGCTTGCCTTGTATTTCCATGTTTTAGAGCCCTAATTTGCTTTCAGATATCTGGGTTAGATTATTACCTTCTCAAGGACACAGCTGCCTCTCACAGCAAACAGTCTTAACAGACTGACTGTCACGATAAATCATTCAAAAAATCTGTCAAGCCTGAAGTGCTGTCTGAAAGCGGGATGAACAATGATATTTCACTGAGCTCTGGGGAGAGATTGCACCTTTCTGCAAGAGCATTTTCCTTTTTTTTAAAGTGATTTACTATCATGATATTTCCAATCTGGGAAAATAAATATTTCTTGTAATTGTTGTTGTTTGATGTGCAGGATAGAGGGGTCTGAGAGATCAGTGCCCTGCACTCTTTGCCTACTTGTTAGGCACTTTTTAAGGTATATAAACACTTCTTAGATTACCTATGGTGCTTTTGATTACCACAGCTTCTTAAAAAAAGTTGATAAACCAAACTGGAGTTGTATTTCATATGAATATATATTGTCAATATACTGTAACTGGAATAGAATTAGCTAAGATCTGACAATAGGTTTTTTTTCTACAAAACAAATTGCTACCATTTTTATATGGTTTATACATGAGTTCATATCCTCTGGAATACATTACCACAAGTGCTGTGGGAAACCATTAACACCATTCTTACCATATTTATACATGGTCGTTAAAGATTCTGTTGAAGAACAGGAATTGAGTAGCAACAGGTTTGCAATCCAACCAGTTAAAACACAAGCAAGGGTATTATGATTCCTGCAAATGCTTCCGCCTGACTGATTTCTCTCAGGCATAATCTCAGTTGGGAGCTTTCCCTTTAATGAGCAACTGAATGTCCGTTCCTGCAGCCTGGGGTTCTGTTAGTCCTATGGCTCAGTATATGACAGAAACCCAGGCTCTGGAGATCAACTGTAATGTTTTTTATTTGTATTTTCAGAGACTGCGTCATGCTCTGCTGCTTGAACAGTGGCACAAGCTTTGTTGCTGGTTTTGCTATCTTTTCAGTTCTTGGATTTATGGCTTATGAACAAGGCGTGCCCATTGCAGAAGTTGCAGAATCGGGTAAGTTCCAAAATCAGTTTTCTGAGTTAACAAAAAATGCCCAGAGGTACTGTCAGAATACTCAGTCTGTGACATGTCTGATGGATAAGTTGACTGTTTTGCAGGTAGTCCTAAAAACCTGTTACCTGACTTGTTAGAATAACTGCTATAAGGAGAGTTCTTAACTATTTTTATGGTCGTACCTTTATGTGTGAAAAATATTAATGTTACTGTGCATGGCAGCAAATTCATATTCAAGGAGCTATTATAACACAAGCTCACTCCAGCTGAGCGTCCAGAAGATTGTTTAGCAGAGATATATTGCTCAGTTATGCCCCTGGAGTGTTATATCCTCATGAAAGGAGCATTCAGTTTTCTTTAAATAAGACAGACTGAAATCCACACAAATATTTGTTCCTTCTGAAAACAAACAAAAAAAAAAAGGCAAGAAGAAGAAAAAAGATGTAGCTATTAAAGTCATGAGAAACCAGCTGTTTAGGAGAAATCTTTGGAAGTCCTCTGAAGTCTTGCTTTGTGTATACTATCCAAATGCAGATTTCTGACAGTCAGACAGCTAATGCCATCTCCTAATGTCAGGAAGTTTTTCGCCCAGGGACATACACTGAGACCCTCTGGTGTATGAAGTATTAAAGTTCTTGTTTTGTGTCCAGAAAGGCACGAAGCCCCAGCTTTACGAAAAATTAACCATCTGAAGATCATTTCCATCACTTGGAGTTGGGCATCCAATGAAAGTTAATTGCTCTTTAACACCTTCACGGGTGTAATATCTTTAAGCATCACTTAAAACTGAACAAAACACCAGGAGTGCCACCCTGAAAGAAAAGCAGTGTAATGCTGGACTGTTGAGAAGGAGAAATGACCCTCATGAAGTTAGACAAGGTTAGCAGGAAAACTGTGAAGCAAGTAGGGCTTCACTGATACTCTGATGGAAAATATTTACCTTTTCCTGAAGCCCCCAAGACAACTGGCTTATACTATTATAAAACTATATAGAAAAAGTTTAAAAGACTGCAGCAACCCTGGAAACTATACAAGTGACAGGACAGGAGGAAACGGCCTCAAGATGCTCCAGGAGAGGTTTAGATTGAATATCGGGAAAAATTTCTTCACCAAAAGGGTTGTCAAGCATTGGAACAGGCTGCCCAGGGTAGTGGTTGAGTTGCCATCCCTGGAGCTGTTTCAAAGTCGCATAGACATCGGGCTTAGGGACATGGCTTAGTGCTGGGCTTGGCAGTGTTAGGTTAATGGTTGGACCAGATGATCTCAAGGGCCTTTCCCAACCTAAATGGTTCTATGATTCTACAATAGGAGCCTGAAAATACTGCGTTAAATGAAAAAGCAGGAGTGTGTTGACAGGTCTTCACTAAAGTTATTGAGCTCCGTTGTCAGCCCTGTGATGCTGCCTTTGTGTCACTGCTTTAAAAACCAGCTACCTTCAGTAAAAGCTGTTACAGCCTGACAGTTTGCAGCGTCTGAAAAATGGGCACGGGTATGTAAGAGAAGGAAAATTTGAGCTAAGTGAGATGGTATTTTAGCAGATCTGAGAAGTTACCAATGCTGCTGCAAAAATGTTTTATTTTAAAGATTTCTGTAAATATGCAGCCAATGAATTAATGTTACCTACCAGCAGCAGCACTGAAAAATGCAGAGCAGGTTTGAACAAACCAGGAGACATTTGGCTAGCACCATGTATGGCTTCCAAGATGCATCTGTTAACATTGACTGCGTTCCTGCACAAAGCTTCAGATACAGTGCTGTCTTAGGAAAGAAAAAAATATTCCAGAATATGTTAATAAGGAATATGGCAATCAAAGGACCACATGCTATTATTTATGTGGGTCTTGCTGTACATCCACACGAAGGAGAACATAAAGCACCGTGATGCCTTAACAGAATTCTTGACCTTCAAACATTTGGACAGGATGTAGGCAGAATTGATGTGCCAAGTCTTCATTAGTGATTAGCCTCATCACCAAAGTTAATGCCATCTCAGCCAGACCCCATATACAGGTATATATTATTTCCTTTCTTTTCCTCCTTTTCAGGACCAGGACTTGCATTCATTGCTTACCCTAAAGCTGTCACCATGATGCCTCTTTCTCCTCTGTGGGCAACTCTGTTCTTCATGATGCTCATATTCCTTGGATTAGATAGTCAGGTATGAAGCAAACACTGTTCAAATATTCTGTCCGATTCCCTAGCATGTGTGTGTCAGCATCCTTGATGGAAACAGCATCTAACCTGCTGAAAGAATAAACTCTAACGTAATGCCTTGCTTAAAACCATTGATTCAAGTTCCTTATTTTAAACCTTAGTTATGTGATAGTGGAGATTCCTTTATGATTTACTGTGAGCACTGGTTCAGCCTGGCCAAAGCTTTCATTAACAGGGAAATAAGTTTAAACTTAAATATGAGTGATTAAAATTCACAGTTCAGTAAAATATCAATGTCTTTTCTTTTCCTGTTTTTAAAGTACTTTGCAATGAATTTTGAAGCTGAATATCAGATAGTGATAATGTAAGTTCCTATGGTGTATTCATACTTCAAGATACCATAGCAAGAAATGTGTAGTTATATTCTGCAGCAAAGTGACAGCATAGTTGTCCTTCCTACGTGACCATAAAAATTGTGAAAGCCACTTGATGAAAACAAGTATCTGGCCTTTTTAGCACGCAGCTCAGCAATCTGCATGATTTGATTCAGAAAGTTTATGATTGTATACTGTAGAATAAAGCTCTTCAGTGTTTATTTTACAAGACATTTCCAATCATTAATGTTTTAATAACTGTTCTTTTTCATGATCTAACAATTTTTTTAGAGTCTTTTTTTAAAATGAGCAATTCCTGAATTCTACTCTTGACTGTTCCAGTGAAGCAGGCTTTATACTGTCTACTTTTAGGCATTAATTTTGGTGCCTATTTCAGAAACCTTGTTCCAGAGCCTTGAGTCAGAAGCTTGGGCCTCTTGCTTTCTACTGATTTCTAGTTACTAAGAACGTTCCTTCCTTCCTTCAATAGATGTACTTGGCTTGAGCACTTAATAGCTTTGTGGAACTTCTCTCTTCTGTGAAATGGAGAGAACTTCTCCAAAAAACCTGCAGTTCATTTAGCAGTGCTGGAAGGTGCATAGCACTGTGTATCATTCCTTTGAGTGACAAAAGTTCAGGGTGCTTACAGTGAAACTCTGCTGCAGTCCTATGAATGGTTTGTACATTGTTTAAATCCCATCCAAGCCACATTTGCCAGATTTAGTTTTTATGTAGTCCATCTGCTACAGGAAAAATGCATTCTGAGATAATATTAGTGGATTCAACTGTTTGAATTTGGTGGTCAACTGGAAATCTATAGCTTGGACCTTTTAATTCCGAAATGATGTTCCTCTCAGTTTGAGCTTCTGCTTATAGAGTGTCCTCAGGGATCATTCAGTCTCTACGATGAGAACATAGAAGGATATTTGAAGTGTTTGGTAGCAAATCCAAATCCCAACAGCAGATGAGACACTTATTTAATTTGTACTTTCCTATTATTTGTTCTAGTTTGTGTGTGTTGAAAGCCTGGTGACGGCTGTTGTAGATATGTACCCAAAGATTTTCCGAAGGGGCTACAGAAGAGAACTCTTGATTCTCGGCCTTTCCATTGTGTCGTACTTCATCGGCCTAATAATGTTAACGGAGGTAAGATGTGCTTTGTTGTACTACTGCAGAAAAAAGGAAATGGGTTTTTGTTTACAGTCATAACAGATAAAATACAAGAACATTTGCCATAGACAGATTACACTGTCAGGAATCTGCCTACAAAATACCTGAGAGACTGTTCTCAACTCCTGTGTAACATTTGAAATGTATCCTCAGTTTTTCAGTTGAGCTTAGGAAATATTTTAATCAAAGTTACGTAGCCAAAGAAATTCCATCTGCTTTGCAGCAGCCAACCAGATGTACTGGTCGTGGTTTCTGCTTACTTACTCTGGGCAGACCAGTCTGAAAACAACTACATTTTGGATTAATAGGTCAATAAAGAGGAAGAAAAGCGGGAAAAAAAAAAAAAAAAAAAAGTTTGAGGATTTCAGCCATCCCATCAGTTCATGATAGAACATGTCTGCCACTCCTGTGGTTGGTACCCGGGTTGGAGAGTGACTCTGGGATCCTTTGGCACTTGGTAGGAGTCCAGTCTTGGTGCTCAGTGCTTGTTTTACAGAGCGAGTTCTATCAGCAGTCCTCCCTCCTCTCCTTCACATCACCCTCTCAAAACAGGAAGAAGATGGGCAGAGTCTACACTCTCCCCATATTCTCCTGCTTGCTGCGCCATTAGAGCCTCCTGGTACCAGGGAGTGAGGCAAAGAAAAAGGTTTCGAGTCTGAGGAGTGTAGAGTTCCATGTGTGAGGCACGTTTGTCCGAGGCAGGCTGGCTGTGTTAACCGAGAGGGGCCACACCGTGGCTCTGTTGTGCAGCGATCTCGGGCAGGGCTTCCCAGTGAAGCCAGCCTCCCAGGGCTGCGTGAACTGTTCTGGAGTCACTTAAATTCCCTCTACAGAAATGTACAGGATTTAGACTATGTACTTTTCAATTGTTTTGTTATTGAAAATGAGCAAATTTCACCCAAAAAGGTGTTAGGCAATTGTATGTTAGTCTGTTGTCCTCAGTATGCAGGTTTTTACAACAAGTAGAACAAATCAGAATATACTGTCTTTAGATACACCTTCATGAAAGAATAACTAAAGATGGGGAGGAAAGTGGAGACTGGGACAAAATGAAACTTCTATTATTACTTTTTTTAGTGACAGTTTGTGCTAGATTAATCAGATAACTTTCTCTGGTAAGAGATATGACACTCTGTATGAAGCAAATGCAGTTGAGCAGAAGTTTTATAAACTTCAGTGAAGTTGAAACGTTCATGAAAGCTGGCAGCCAGATAGAGAAGTCCTGGAAGTGTCCTTACTGTTCAGAAGAACAAAGTACGAGTTCGGTCTTTATTAAAAACCAGAGAATTCATGAAAAAGTTGTAGCCTAATGTGTACATGAAGTGTAAGTGCTTACAGTCGTCTATAAGATTCAAGTCCAAATCAGGCTTCATTCACTCTGCTGTTCCTGGGTCGCAGAAGACGGCACAGTGACAGGGAAGGACAGGATGGCTGGAGTACTAAAGATGGGGTAGACTATAGTAGCACTAGGTACAAGGTCGTCCATATAGTAGTAAACATTTCTACTAGGCATTGAAAATTATTAGGAAAGAGAAGTATCTGGATGTGAAACTAAGCACTAAAAATATGCTGTAAACATCAAACCATGTTTCTTAATGTTTCAGTAAGGTATTTCCAGTTGAGAGATGGGAATAGTCCCGTAACTGGACAAGGTAATAGTCCTGCTGA